GGGGTCGATGAGCTTCCCGTCTTGAATGAGCTGCATGAATTTGGTAATCCTCGTGGGGTGAGCTTCGCGCGCGGGGCAAGTCGCCATCGTGTCTGGAGGACAAATGACGACGGGCATCGTGCTCTCCTGCTAGGCTACCCTCTGGACTACGAGCTGGAGGAAGAGGTCGGCGAAGGCGAGGCGGCCCTAGAAGTGGCCGTGGAGGATGAGGACGCTCCGAAGAGAGATTGGTCCGAGTATCCTTATTGGGTCTCCATTTCTAGGAAGAGCCTCTTTCGTCGTCTGCATGCCAAAGACAAATGCGGAGTGTTGCCCTGGAATGTCTTTTCGGCTGAAGGGTTCTCGAGTGTTTCGGAGGCTAATGCTGATGCTTGGTGCAAGATTTGCTGGAAGAAGATTGCACAGGGAGAGGCGGAGGCTTCTAGAGAGGCCTCCTCCTCGGGCTCGTCCTCGAGTACAGAAATCGAGGAGCCGGAGCAAGAGGAGCCGGATCTTTGAAGCAGGTTGTGCTTTGAAAGGGGCCCACAAAAGACTGTTTGTGCACGAGTGCCCCCTCCTTGCTGTCTTGTCCTCGGATTCAGGGCGGTGCTTGGTTCGGCGGTTCAGCCTCACGTTTTGCTGTCTTGTGTCCGGGTGAAGGGCGGTGCTTGGTTCTGCAGGCGGACCTCTCGTGCTGCTGTCATGTCCTCAGGGCGTAGGGCGGTGCATGGTACGGAAGTCATCACCACATGTGGAAGTCCGGCTGAAAGATCAGGGTCGGGGTGCCGTAAGAGTGGCACCGTAGGAGCATGGCCGAGGATGCAGCGCGGCGAGCCTATGTGGCACAGCATGTTAGTGCTGACCTTGTGTATGTTTGGGAAGAGATGGGAGTCAGCCTGTTGCATCAACGCGGCGAGCTTGGTGAGCGATATCGTAGTGTGGCATTGTTTTCTTCCATTGCAGACACGCGGGCCGATGCCCGGGCAGTCTTGCGAAATGAAGTGACCGTAGGAGATAATGCAGATGGAAGGGCCGCCATTGCCGCCTTAGTGGCTGCATGGCAATCTTGCTACGACATGGCAGACCAGGAGCGGCGATTGAAGGCTGAGGCGCATGTGCTCGGCCTGCCTAAGCCTCTGCCCTCGAATGATCGGATGGGCATGCGGCATGCTTTAGAGGGTGTCGTAGGTGCTCTGGAAGAGAAAGATGAACCCAGCTCCACCTATCTGGCTCTCAAGTTAGAGGAGGTGGAGGCAGGCGAGCTACGAGCTGCTGTACTCGATGAGGTGACAAGTGTCTCTGATGAAGTGAATGCTCAGTTTCAGTCATCGGTGGACTCCTCAGGCCGTTTGCGGGCTTGTCAAGGAGAGGAAGAAAGCCAAGCTCCCCTCGACTTCTGAGGAGCTTCGACAGCGGTTGCGATTGGAGTGCCACACGTTTCTCATGCTGGCAGCCCGC